TGCATATTTTAACATAGTTGACTTAGACTCTTCATTTTAACTGCATCTCCACACAATCCTCTTGTGTTGCTTGGTGTTGAGTTGGTCACGAGCATTCTGTGGAATCAGGGTAAACAGAGGTTGAGTTTGGAATACATTGCGTTTGGGGTTTAATGGGATAATATTTTGATATGGTTGTCAAAGTAGAAATGGCGTATCAGTCAGGATTCAACCAAGAATACAGATCCAGTAGGAAATATTAAGAGACTGGTGACCTTGTGTACTGATGTATACTGTGGGAAGCAATCCACGAAATGCATGAGGACCTTTACTGGGCATTGCAGCCAGGGATAGGTCCTGTGGCTGTCCCTCGGAGACAGACTGTCCAATGCTCTGTGAGAAAGGTCCCTCTGTTAGAAAGCACTGGAGATGGGCTTAACCCGTTAGGAACTTAGCAGCCAACCTGCCCCCACACTTATCCTATTTTGGTGAAGAACTTTCTATGGAAAGTCTTTGATGTTTTCTGATCTAAATAAAGCAGATGCAGGCTCCTTTGTGTGTTAGAAGCTGGACCCGTCTGGTCAGCTTGCCTGTCCTGCCCCCAGTTTGAAACTACTTTCTGTGTTCTGTGGTTATTTTGCTTGTTTTATTTCTCTTAGCTTTTATTTCTCAGTCAGCCCATTCCACCAGAGGAGAACCCCATTCCCACCACCTGTGTGGGGATGTGGGCAGTAGGATACTGGTATATATACAGATATGACAAGGAATAGGCTTATACAGTTGTGTCAGGCTGGCTATGTTAGCTTCTTGTCACTGTGATCAAAATGCCTGGCAAGAATGACTTAGAGGAGAAAAAGTTTACTCTGGGCTCACAGGTCTCAGATCCTGTTTGGACGTTTCCAGTGCAGGAACATCATGGCGGAAGGGCGTGGCAAGAGGAAAACTGCTCAGCACATGGAAGCTATGAAGCAGAGAGAAAGAAGCCAGAGACAAGATGTCGTCCCCGCAGTTACATCCCCAGTGACCTGCTTCCTCTAGCCATGCCTCACCTACCTACAGTTACCACCCAGTAGTCCATTCAAATTATCAATCCATCAAATGGATTAATCCATGGAAGAAGTTGTCCGCTCTTGCCGTACAATCTTTTCAGCTCTGAACATTACTGTATTACCTAAGACAAGAACTTTTGGGGAAACATTCCAAACCCAAACCAAACACTGGCTAAGCAAGTCTGAAGTTCATAACACAGGCCATCAGAAAGGGAACATGAAGCAGCCAGAGTTTCATAGGCCAAAGTTGGACTCTACAGTCAAGAGTCTCTCCTTCCCTTGCTTCTCCCCAAGAAAAGCCAAAGCTTGATTTTAAGGCAATTCAACAGATTAACTCAGGCCCACTCAGGATAATATTTTGAATGGAAAGTGGATGGATTAGGGACTTTAACTACTTCTGCAACATCTCTTCACTGAGCACTTAGGTTTATGTTTGGGTAACAGTACCAGAGCTCAGCCTGGTGAAAGGGACACATCAAAATGCCACTTCCCAAATAGTTTCTGGAATATACCTGGTCACCCCATGTGCAAGACTACCCAGCATGACAGGAAGGTTGAGAGACAGGACCAAAGCAAAGAGGAATTAGAGGAGAAAGGTTAGAAATATATGAAACCTGATCTAGTCTATACAAACTTTTTTCTATCACCAGAGTCTGAAAAATGTAAGTTGAAATTTCAATTATCAGCAATGTCTACTTAAAGCATAATGTTTTAGAAATAGTATGAACAATTAATTGTACAACTGTACAACCACTAAAATTGCTTTTATAATTTCAGTTTATCTATTTTGATGAGAATGTGTGTTACTAGAGTTCTGGCAAATATACAATTTTAACTTTCACTTGGAAAATCTCAATTAAAAAATTGAGAGATTCTTCAATAGAAGGTTTAGATGTATGAAAAGTATAACCTTGATTTTTAAATTTTTAAATTTATTAAAGAATTAGGAGAAAATACAAATAAGTTTAATGGGATCATGAAACAAAGCAAAAAGCAAATAGTCATGAAACCAATAGAGATTATTCTGAGATCAAGAAAGAAATATTAACAAGAGGATTTTTTTATCATCTCAGAGTAGTAATTTAAAGAAGAGATAAATTTCAAAGGAATGAAGAGACTCTTAGATTATACAATCATTTAGTTAATGAAAATAAGTAAATTGTATGAATAATATTGGGGAAAAAAGAACTAATTTTCAAGCTTAATTTGACACAGAATACAATCTCACAAAAAAAAAAAAAACTCGTATTGCTATGGTTTGGATACGGTACATCCCTCAAAGATTCATGAGCTAGAATCTTGGTCTCTAATGTAATGGTATTAAAAAATTGTAAGACCATTAAAAGGTGGAGCCAATGAGGAGGTGATTAGGTAATGGAGACACCACCCTTTTGAATGAATTCCTGTCTTTCTGCAAAGACTGGATATGTTAGCTTTTCTTCACTGCAACTAAAATACCCGACAAGAACAACCTGGGGAAGAAAAATTTATTTGGACTCATGGTTTCAAAAGTTCAGTCCATGGCCAGCCAAATCCATTGTTCTGGGTCTCATGTGAGGCAGAACATCATGGTGTAAGGGCGTGGCGGAAGAAAGCTGCTCAGCCTGTGGCATGTGGGAGGCAGAGGAGGAAAAGACCATGGGCAAATAGAATGCAGACTATGTCCCAGTGACTTATTTCCTCCAGTCACACTTCACTTACATTCAGTTACCACCTGGTAGTCCATTTAAATTATTAACCCATCAAGTGGATTGACCCACCAATGTGGTTACATTTTACAAAATCTAATCATTTCACCTCTGAACATTCCTGCATTGTCTAACACATAAGCTTCACAGATCCAAACCATAACACTCCACCCTCTGGCTCCCCAAAACTTATGTCCATTCCCAGTACAAAATGTATTTAGTCCAACTCCAAGAGTTCCCATAGACTTAGCAGTTTAAGCAATGCTCAAAAGTCCAAATCTAAAGTCTCCTTCAAGACTCAAGGCAAAGAAAAATCCTTAAAGGAATGATAATTAGTAAATTTTTAAGAACTGAAAAATCTTCCAGCTATTGATTTCTTATAAAAACCTGATACAAGTTTTAAAGCTAGTGAGGAAGAGCAACAGCACTCAAATAATACCCAATCGCCAGGGAGAACTTCCAGTTAACAACAACAAAAAACACAAAAAACTAAAACGACCAAAAGCAAAACTGGTCTGCTCCACCCAATACCTTCTTCCAAACATATTGTTGGTGCTTTAGTATTATGTTTGGATAGGTCTGTAGATACATGTGACTTGGATACATATTTCAGAATGGGTAATTTGAGATTGTGAAACATAATACTCAGCAACCCTGTCAAACCGTTTCTCCAAATGATAAGATACTTGAATCTGAGATATATGTTGTGTTGAGTCTAAAGTATTTTATGTGAATTACAATGAAAAGACTTGCCTTCAGAATTTGCAAACCAGCCTCACTTGTATATATCTCCCATTCC